CAGTTGCTTTGGATAAAAGCGTCTATCAAGTGACATGTAATGTAATATTTATATTTACACTAAACAGACTTATGATACTTTAGCTCATTCTTGTGGCCACACTTATGTCCTGCACCCTGAGTGGCAATAAACGGCCTTATGTTGTTTCCCCTTATCTTAAAAATATAATTATATTATATTATAACAACGCATTATATTAACTCTACAAGGACAAAACAGGAGTATAAAATAAGGTTACTTTTAATCTCAGGATGTTGCTTTTGTTTAAAATCCTGTTGTTAATATGATAAATTGCACAAAACTACTTTAATATGTACATCCCAGATTATATGTTACTATCAACTGGAAAAGCAACATAAAAAATAATTGTTCTGTTGGTTTTTGTTGTAAGCTTCACTAGTGTCTGGATGTCAAACCTCACATTATTAATAAACCTCCTAAACTCACTAGCTATTTGCAAATGTCTGATAATGTTTTTCTTTCTAGGGTGGGGTAGAGATAAGATATAAACTGTAATTTGATAATAAATTATGTCTAAGATCAATTATTTTGGCATAAATTCGCATTTTTGTTCTCTTAACACACAGCAACATAACCTCAAATGACCTGAAAAAGTCTGATGTTTGCCTGCCAAACACAGTGCAGGTTAATTATTTATTTATTTTATCAGATAACATTCTGCAGGGGAAAGTAGGCAATCTAAACAAATGTTTGTACAGGTATTGTACCTAACTCACAGAGCCAAAAATAAACACTTTAAGCAGCAGTGAAGGGGCCGTGAAGCGCAAAAGCATGAGATTAAAAAAGTACAAAAACACTAGAATTACAGTGAATGTAGTTATATACGTCCAGAGTGAATCATTGAGCTAATTCTGTGTCTTTGCAGGTCCTTTAAAGTGAAAGGTGGGCGTCTGTGGATCAAGTCAGAAGGAAGCAGGCGTTCAGTTATAAACAGGAAGTTGACTGAGAATGAATTCAAAATAAAAGAATCAGGTTTTCACTGTTAACGCTCAACAAAAAGATACATTTATTTCACAACAACATACACCTATGGTTAAATAGTATAGTTGAGTGTATCATGTAATTAACAAATTAGTGAAAATTGAAATGAATGTCACTAAAGAATACTTAAGAAAAGTTCCAGCGTCGTACAGTATTTGAAAATGCTGGACAAAAATCAATGTATTTCCCAGGTTCGTTGGTTTTATTTTGAAAGTTCCGACAGCCAGAAGTTCTGTTTTATTCACACTGGCTTGATCGAGTGTTGACAAAGTCGTGTCTTGCACTTGGAAGATGTCTGCAGAGAAAGAGGGAGATATGTTGTGCTTTTATATCAACGGGAAAAAGGTACGCATTTAATAAACAGATAACCATGTTTGAGGTAGTTTTAGCTTTTAGCCAGTCGTTTTTTCAGTTAAAGTCTGTCACAAATGCTGCAAATTAGTTTGCACGAATGTTAAAAGTTGTATTTTTGACTCATAAAACAGTGTGAGGGATTTAGAGAATTAGAATACACGCTTAAATTGAACGAAAAGTAGTTTTTAAGTCATGAACTGCAAACGGTAAGCCCTCAGAATCTGGGACAGAAATGGGTTTAAAAAATAATAGCTCCAGAAAAATAGTTTTAGCATCACACAACTGTACAATTTTATGAATAAATACTTATATCTGACAAACCTAAACTACTTTTTGTTATATTTTCTGAGAAAAAAAGGCCCCAGTGATACAAAAACCGCAATACAGTCCATATGAGGTTGCAATATTACATTAGATTCAAGGTTCAAGGTTCAAACTTTTATTGTCTTTATTGCTAGAGTTAGGACAATGAGATTCTTAGGTCAAAGGCTCCTCCAACAGTGCAACACAATACAACAGATAACATAGTACAGGTCAATAAAATCAAATACAATATAATAGAAAGTGCAGAATAGCAGAATTCATTGAGATTAGATAGATTAGATGTAATTAATTGATCTCATATTGGGAAATTATATTGGTATAAGAAGCATAATTTAAGAAAGCATTTAATACAAACATATCAATACAAATGTATGTTTATCTATTGATTATATAGACATCCTTGCAATACGTTAAGCTCTGGAAGCTCTGGACATTAAGCATGTTTCTCAATGTTGTTCTTTTTTTGACTTAATGATAAATTAAGATAAAAATATGTTTTGTCTCAACTGAGTTCAGTTTTCTGTCGAGGTGTGATTTGGTTTGCAACTATTTAATGCATATGTGATATTTTCTTTGGATGCAAAGTAAGTTTAATGAGATAAATATTTACCTTGTGTTAGGTAACAGAGAGGAATGCTGACCCTGAGACCATGCTGCTGTCCTTCCTCAGAGAGAAGCGTATCCTTCAGACCAAACACACACACACACACACACACACACACACACACACACACACACACACACACACACACACACACACACACTAACA